TTTTTTTTTTTGTACCAGGGATCAAACTCGGGTCCTTGCACTTGCGAGGCAGGCGGTGTAACAACTGAGTTAAATCCCTGGCCTGATAAACATCTATTTATAAAATGCTCTCAGTTGTAGTAAGGAGTTTCATTTCCTATTTTTGGCTTCAACAAAATCCAACAAAGAAGAGTAGGAGGGTGTGAAAAAAAGAGAAATGCTTTGAAATGCCTGGGGGAAAATCTCCTATTGATTTCTATCTTATATCTTGCTAAAAATCACCACAAGAGGTAAATTTCCATTTCATAAAATCAATCCTCAGGAAAGAAGACAAATTCTGTGGAACATGAATATGGAGTGTCTGACTATCTCCCAAGAGGTTTGGCTTCTAGTTAAAACAATAAAAATGTTAACAGGTCCCCATCTTGTCCTTACTTGACAACATCTCTCAGAAATGGTACAGTGAAGAAATGATTAGCAATGTTGCCCGCGTTAAACAACAGTCGTCCATCTGAGCTTCGTTTTTGAGCTGTTGCCAGGGAAATTTCACTGTATTCTACCACCTGGTACACGCCGTCCACTCTGCAAACCACTCCAACTGGTTCAGTAGGGTTCGTCTTCTCTACCACCTGCCCATCAAAAAGTGACAAGAGCAGAGGAAAAAATTAAATGAATGTTCCTTCAGAGATTTGCCATTTGTCAAAGGCCATGTGTTCAATTTTGTTCATTGTCTTTAAGGAATTAACCAAGAGGAATCTTGAACTTTAGACAATCAATTATATTCTTTCACAGACTAATTTCAACTGAAAATGAAGCACATTAGCTCCTTCCTACATATCACTTAACCAAACCAGGGTAGAAATATCATCATACACACAAATATAGCCCAGAGGAAATTGCACAGGGCTAAGAATAATCAAATGAGAAGACAGTATTTCCCAAATATCTTGTATTTTTAAATTATTTATCCTTAACCACATTTAACTACTTTTAGAATAAAAGAAATTTATCTAGGATTCACAAGACAAAAGACTCAAGTAAAGCATTTTGTCTCTCATTTAATATTGCCCAGATCATTATTTATTTTGAAAATAGTGTTTCGATTTTCCCCCATGAATATAAAGTGTTGTATTTGATTTGAAGGATAAGAAGAAGGAGAGTTAAAGCAGGCAGGTCACTGGGCTTCTACTCTTACTTTAATCAGAAAAAAACTACCTATACTAACCCATCTTGCATACCTCATTTTGTTTAAAGTTAAGAGACTCTATATTTTAATAAAGTTTGAAAACCAGTGACTTGACAATTTATAATGGCTTCTGGCTAAATAGGGAACTGGGAGAAGAGTGCGTACCAAAACCAGAGGGAAAAGGTAAGGAGACATAACTTAAAAACAAAACAAAACACCACAGGTGATCCTGACATGCCTCCATCCTAATCACAACATCACTGACTCAAGTTAAATATTGAGAAGAAAATTATAAAAGCATTGTAAGCCAAGCACCAACATACAGTCAAAGTTCAGATGAAATGAAAAACCAACACAAGACTCAAACAATTAAGAACATCTGTTCAGTGGCCTGCCTTGCAAGCGCAAGGACCCAAGTTCAATCCCCGGTACCAAAAAAAAAAAAAGAATATCCGAAGGCACTGTTTTATTTGTACTGTCCAAGTAACAATTCTGCATGCTTCAGAATATTTTCAAAAATCTATCCCAAATTTGAAAAGTGTATCCCAAGTATACATGAAATCGTGTCAATAAATTTAAAACTTTTCTTCAGCAACTGATTTCTGAAAATAAACACAGCCAGGACCAGTCTCTTCCAGACAACTAAAGCCAGCATTGAGAACTTCATTTACACTGCAGTTATAGACACAGACACTGAGTCTTGAGCCCAGTGAGGCAGGGCCACTGGATATGTAAGCTTCTGTGTAGTTCACTGTTTGCCTCCCTGAAAAGAGCACAGTACTCAAAAAAAAAAAAAAAAAAAAAAAAGAAAAGAAAAGAAACTTTTTACCAAGGAAATGGATTAAACTAGAAGGAAACATAAAGCAAAATGACACAAACCAATCATGAATCTATCAACCTATCACCACCTCTTAATTCATATAGTCTACAGTGGGTATTTCCCCAGGCAGGGAACTTTGAAAACAAGTACCTCTCAGTCCCATATATACATATATATATATTTTTTTTAACACACAAGTTTTATTTTCTAAGCACCTCTACACAACCTCTCCCAACCAGCAACAGAAAATAAAAATAAGCATATTCATACTTTACATTCGCCAAGGGCTAATCTGTGGGTGTAAGGTTTATTTCTGTGACAAGTATTTACCTGTACATATTATAAAAGTCTAAATTACAGAAACTGCATGAAGTTGAAAATCAGTTTATATTATACAGAAAAGATGCACAATATACAATTAAAAGAATGGCTCAATAATCCATTAGTCTGGCTCTGCTAATGTAATGAAGGGCCTTGATCTTGGGACTTATAAAGCACTGGGAGGTGGTAATTTCTGAGATCAAACAGGTTGACCACATCTTTTCTGAGGTCCCACCCATGTTCAACCTCTTTAATCATACTTTATATGATTCTGAAGCTTATAGCCATGAAAAATTAATTTTCTATTAAAAAAAGTGACACCAAGAGGAACAGATCAGAAATAACTATTTTCATTTTTTAAAGTTTGTTTGAGCTTCATAGCAATTTATGATTCAATATACTGTTTTTTATTACAGGTTAGTAGCTAAATACATTATACTCTACAAATACTCAGGAGTGGACAGATGTCTTATATGAAACCAACTCTTTATTTTCAGAGTCAGAAGAAGTCTTACTACACCTATCAGTTTAAGTTTTCAAAAGTCATAATGATAACTTTTAAGATTTCAGTTTCTGGATATGGCTTTGCATTAGATTTGTAATTCGATTTTGAGAGAAGTGACATTTTACCATTTTTCTCCAACCAAGAATATGATATGTCTCTCTTGACAGGTCTTCTTTGTAAATCCAGATACTTCAAATTTATGTGTAGTTTGTTTTCATCAGAAGCCTATATGGTTTCTGCTTTTGGCAGAACAGTCTTCCTACCACATCAAAATTACAAAATTACTCTAAATTCTTCTAATACCTTTATAACTTTTTTATATTTAACTTTCCATTTGAAAGTGATTATGGTATGAACTTTAATGTAATAAAATATTAATAAAAATATGAAAAATTTCTATGAAAAAATAAAACAAATTTCCTAACAAAGTAATTAGAGAATAACAATGGTGTGTGTTATGACCCTAAAAGAACAGCAAAATGTTATTCAGAATATAAATCATAAACAAAAAAAGATTATCTTACAAAGAAGAAACCAAATAAAGGGACAAAATTTTCTCATGTTTTTTTTTATATGAAAAACATTCTCTATGAGAGAACAAAATAGGGAATAGATAAATAGGAATTAGGGAGAAATTCAAACAACTTCCCAAATTATCTATTCTGATATTTCATAAAGACTTTAAGATAAATGCTAATCTGTTTCATTTATATTACCACATTGTTCTGTCCATTGATATAAACTTTCACTCACAGATTTACTCTATTTTTAGCCATTTATTTCATTCATATCCAAAACTAAATTGAAATGTCTTTTCACTTTTATAAGGTATAGTATGATATTTCAATACATGTTTAAATGTGTGATGACAAATCAGGGTAATCAATGTTTCTATTTCCTTATTGTTTTATATTCACTTGTTAGAATGGCTTAGATCAAATAGACACAATAACATAACAAATGCTGTAAAGATGTGCAGAAAAGGGATCTCTTATACACTGGTGATGGGAAAGTAAATTTGTACAGTCACTAAAAACAGTAGGGAAGTTTCTCAAAAAATTCAAAACAGATCTAACACATGATCCAGCAATCTAACTACTGGGCATATTTCCAAAGAAAATGAAGCCAGCATATAAAGGAGGTTCCCGTGCAGCCATGTTTATTGCTGCACAGTTCATGATAGTTAAGTTATGGAATTAACCTAGATGCTCAACAGATGAATGGATAAAGAAAATGTATATACACAACAGAATACTAGTCAGCCATGAAAATGATATTCTATCACTTGCAGTAAAGTAGACAGAACTGTAGGATGTTATGTGAAAAAGTCAGACACAGAAAGACAACTACTACATGTCCTCTCTCATACATGAAAACTTAAATCAATCTGAATGTAAAAGAGTGGTTATTAGAAGTTGGGATGGGTGGATGGGGAGTAGAGACAGAGGAAGGCTAGGTAACAGAGAAACTTAAAATGTCACTTTTATATGTGCCTTCTTACACATGTGAATCACTTTTTTTTCCCATTAAGTTTATTGGTACATTTAAAGCAAACAATATAGTTACATTTATCATTGAGATCTTGTACTTTTACATGATATATCATGGTTCTTGTTTTTTCCCCATATCCCTGCCCTCCCTTCACCCTTCCCTATTTACAGAGACTTTGTTTCCTTTTTTTCATTTTTTCACATTTTTTTCTTTTCCCTTATTTCCTTTCCCCTATCCTTTCCACTTCCCCTTTAGCCATTTTCTTCTTATTTCATACTACCAATTATACCATTTGAACCTTATTTACACTTTCAGTTTTTCACACCAGAGAAACTATTCGGTATTTACTCAAGTGTGTCCTGTTTATTTCACTTAAGATTATGGCCTCAATGTGCATCCATTTAGCTATAAATGTCTCTAGTTTCTCATTCTTTATGGCTGAGTAGTACTCCGTTTTATAGAAAAACCACATCTTCTTTATCCAGTCTCCAGCTGACAGGCATTTGGGTTGTTGTGAAATTTTAGCTATTATGAACTACACACATGAATCTCTTTGTTGCTGATCCATTCCACTTCCATTAATCTGTTGTTCTATTCTGGTACTGTACTACACTCCTAGTTGGTTTTTATGTGTAATTAACTTTAATATCTGATAGACTGCCTCCAGTCTCCTTTATCTTTCAATGTTTTTCTGGTCATCTTTACATGCTGACTCTAAATTTTATAATCATTCTGCCAAATGTCCCCAAACTGGTCTCACTGGGACTTTGACTGAGACTGCTAAGAATGAGTACCTCTACAAACTTCCAGAACAGTAATGTTTATATCAATATTTTTAAGGCTTCCAATATTTTTAAAGCTTTGTGCAATTTCTACTTTATTTCTAGCTAAATCATATATTTTGTCTGCTACCATAAAGGTATGCTTCCTTTATCACCTATGCAACCAAAAAGCTGAGAAGAACAATGCCAAGAGCAGTCATCACACAGAAGTCCAGATCCAGCTCCTTGTTATGATCAGTATGCCAGTGGGAATTCTGGCAGTATTAACTTCATTAAATATCTTTATCCCCAGTCGAAAATCTCTATTGTATTCATCAGACTATCAAGAGATATTTTTAAAATGCCGAAGTGAAGTCAAAATCTGCTATTCCTACTGTCCTGCTCTTACCTACTACTCCAGTAACTTTGTCATAGGAAAAAAAGTAGGTTAATCTGATTGAATGTGACTTAATATTAATGAATTTACCCTGAGTCTAGTAATAATTGTTTACTTTCCCACAGATTTTAAACTCTCACTGTGGCTGACAAGTACTCAACATTACTTCTAGAATCAAGTATTGCCAATTAAAGAAAAAACTGAGTGTGGCATAGGTTAGAGAGATAAATGGTTCTAAAATATTCAAGTCACTGTAATAAGCCAGGTTTTATACCTGGAATGTTTATACTGACAGAGAAATACCATTTAAAGACTCACTATAGTTAAAAGTATTACCTTTGCCCCACAGTCTGCTCCTTTCTGGATGCAAAATCCAATAAATCGTGGGTCTGCCACTTTTACCAATATATTATCCACACAATAGACATGAATGCACCAAATGCCTCTTTGTTCCATATCCTCCACAATATTCTGGGCTGCAAGAGCCCGATAAAGACCTCCATTTCCATCTGGAAAATAACACAGCCATTGGTAGCACACAAAAATTCACTATAAGGACAACCCAAAGGCTGTTCATTGCTTCCAAAGAGGGACGGCGATCTCTGAGAGACAGTTTCATACTAAGAGCCAAGAAAATTAAACATCCATAAGAAAAAATTCAAGTGTCAAAAGTTATATTACACGATTTTGAAGGCTATTTAGCATAAGTATTCACAGAGCACCATTATCAATGTAGAAGCAGGTAACCCAAGGGCTATTTTCTTTTCCACTTAATCCTTTTAAATAATTTAGTCTATAATACATACATTGTACAATATAAAATTGAGGCAGTAATTTTTCATAACATTTCAAGTTTTATTAAAATTTCTGACTCAAGGGCCAGGGATTTAGCTCAGTAGTTCTGCCACCTGCCTCACAAGCACAAGGACCTGAGTTCAATCCCCAGTACCAAAAAGAAAAAAAAAAAAAAAAAACCCAACCTTTTTTTAAGGCACAAGTGTGATATGAAGGTCTATAGTGATTTAAACTAAATATAAGTAAAAGCTTTTCTTCTCTACTTTTCATGTTGCTTTAATGTAATTCTCCCATCAACAACTGTGGCCAATGGTTAAATGATGACAAAAAATTAGACAACTTCCCAAAATAAAGCTAAGAATAATAAACTCTTCCATTAACTAAAAACAATTATATTTTTTTAAAAAATATATTAACCACATTAAAAAGAAAATGAAGACAATGATTTATGTTATTATCATGTCCAGTCAACCATCAAATAAGAAGGATTACAAACCCGGGGCCATAGAAACTTTGTTCTTCTCTTCCAAAATAATTTTCCCATCAAAACTCATAGCAGGAAGCATTCCCTGCTGAAAAAAGATTACATTCTCTTTTTTTAAACCAAAGTACTTGTGCTTTGTGAAGAAATCCTTTGTCGCTTCCATTGTTCTGCCACTGGTCATTATATACCTTATGAGAAAAAACAGAAGAGCTTTCTAAGTGATAGTGCTATGCAAAGTAGGGCAAAATAAAGTTTATCTATTTCCTAAGCTAAAGAAAAAGTGAAAGATTTGCTTCTTATTTTGATCTTTTGCCTTTTTTCTGGATAAGATACATAAACTAGCTGCGACTCAAGAAGAATTTCTTCCACAATTTTATCAGTCTAGATATACAAAATTGCTTAACAATATTAAACATATTTCCTGCAGCACAAAATCTATTTTCAGCTTCAGTAAACACTTATAACTCTGGGAAAATGTATTTTAAATTTAATACTTCAATTCCAAATAAACAGAGACAAAAGATAACTATCTCTTATCTCTTCTTTTTATTAAAATTTGCAAGTTGTCACCTTCCATTTAGAATCATAAAACTATAATTATACATATTATTGTCACAAAAATTCAATTTATGCCAGTTATAGCAAAGGAAAAACTTCTATCTAAAACAACAATTGATAATTGCAGTAGTTTTGGGACTAGAACATATATTACATATAGGTAGGGATTTTCTTCTTTTGTGGCAACTTATTAACCCCTAGCACTTTGTTGAATGAATAAATGAATAAAACAAGTGATTCCTACTACATCAATATTTATCTAACAATTGATTCTGGGTAATTTGAACTTCTGGTTAAAAAACAACAAAAACAGGATTCAGAAGATGACAAAAGAGGTGGCTCAACTACTCCGCATAGGGCAAAAACAAAATGAGAGAAAGAGAGAAAAAAAAATCCTAAATTATAGTAAAGGGCCAGGACTGTAAGATGTTGGCCACTTAAAATATCTATGTCCTTCAAAAACTCTCACAGGAATTCAAAGGCGTGGTGGGGAGTTCATAGCAGGCCAGTACTAGTCTTCATAGGAGCTAGAAAAGCTGAGGGAAAAATGGATGGAAAAAAAAAAAAATCAAAGGAATCAGTGAGCTGTAGAAACAACTACTGGAAATAAAGACCCAGAAAAAGAGAATCTTTCAAAGGGAAATTAAGAATATTTAGCTGCCTTGCCCTGAGGGTATGTGCTAATTTTGGGCACTGCTAAGTGGTGGGGAATGTGCAGAAGAGAAATCAGTAGAGCTTTTGTTGTCATATGGGACTGAAATAATAAGACAGGGACCTGAGGGATATCAAATGCCATAGGTGATTTTCCCCCTCAAAACATACTAACATTCAAAACTGCTCTGGGAAAGTGATTAAGGAACCAAACCATTCCTGTAATCTCTGGGTACCTAGGAGACAAACACCAAGGTAGAGACTCTAAGAATACAGAGCCTTAGTAGAACCAGAGAACACAAGTTTAATGAAACAAAAAGAAATCAATGCAGCTTTCATCCAGAAGAAGAGAAGTTGGGGAGAGACACCTAGATAACCTAGCACCTGATGTGAGTTTCTAGAACAGTAGTGGCGAACCTATGGCAAACATGATGCAGTGGGCACACAGAGCCCTTTTCGTTGGCACATGAGACAAGTCACCCCAGCATTACTCCAGCAGCTGAACATCAGACAACAGCACACACAGGGGCCATGCACATGCTTGGAAAGGAATAGCAGAGTCAGGCAGTGACATCACAAGCACTATGGGCACTTGGTGTCCAAAATGTTTGCCATCACTGTTCCAGAATCATAGAGCCCACCAACTACCTGAGTACCCAGAGCAGTGGCTAAAATCGACGCATAGCGTGTCATTATAAAATCAGATACTAAAGGTAAGGGGAGACCCTAAATCTTTCAAAGAGGAAAAAGAAAGTGATTAGGAATCAATGGCATCACACATCTCAACAGCAATGCTGGAAACAATACAGCAATGCCTTCACATTCAGAAGGAAACTTAATTTTAATAAGAAATTCTATATCTAGACAAAGTATCAACCAGTATAAAGTTTAGACTAAGAGTCTGCTAAGTACTAAAAGGTACTTCTAAAGCTACTTGGAGATTAAAAAAAAAACAAAAAAAAAAAAAACAGAGTACGTATTGCTCATTAAGGCCATTGAGGTCATCTATCTAGTTTTAATATGTATTACTGTTAGCATATAAAAACTCACATTTACCAACAAAACCAGTAGTAATAGAAAAGGGTCTGCTTATAAATAAGTTATATATGAATTTTCAATATTATAAAACAATATATGTTCAGATACTCCAATGAAACATATCTTACCATGGAATGATGCATTTGTTGCCATAGTATTTCTCAGCTAACAGCTGTAGCTTCAGGATACGCTCTGCTTGAATTTGGAAAAGTGTCTTATGAGATGGTAAACCAACATCATACATCCCCTTGGGGTATGCAACTCCAAGTCTTGTCCCCTGCCCACCAGCTAGAAGGAGAACTGCTACTTTGTTCTGAGAAATCTGGAAAAGTCCTAGAAAAGAAAAAGAGTACACTTGTGTCACAAAATCTCTATAATTCAGCAAACACAAAGAGGTATGAGCAAAGACTTACCCAGTGTGCATAAAGTACGTAAAGAACAGTGTCTATATACAATCATGGATGCTATCATGTTAATAAGAATATTTCATTATTAAAACAAACTTATGCAGCCAAACACCAGAAAATGAATGACATATTTTAATAAACTAGTAAGATACTTCTTCTGGTAACATCAAGAGGCAAGAACCAAGAAATATTATAAAGGTTTTGCAAGAGCTTGATTGCTTATTAGATGCTATAAGTTAAGAAAAAAATAGAATAAGATGACACCAAGGTTTCAGGATGAATGATGATGTTATTACTTTGTTAATAAGTCAACCCACAAGAAATAATCATATGAATATACTAGCAAACTATGTATCTTGTAAATGCAGAAAAAAGAAACTTTCAGTTAGGAAAGCAGTGTGGTATAAGGGCTAAGAACCCAGCCTCTGAATTGCTTCTCGGCCTTTTGGCAAAGATCAAGTGTAGAACCCAGCCTCTGAAGTCAGAACACCAGGTCTGAAACTCAACTCAACCAAATGAGCTTGGGGAGTTACCTACAAAGGTCCTTAGGAGATTTTGTACAACGTGGGAAATGTTGTGTGTCCTGATTGCGGTTGAGTTATATGGTTGTATACAAAAAAATTATGTATTTCACTGCACGCAATAATACATTAATAAAATGTGGGCTGGGCATTTAGCTCAGCAGCATAGTGCCTCCCTCAGCATATAACAAGACTCTAAGTTCAATCCCTAGCACTGACAAAAATGAATAAATAAAATGCATAAATTTAAAAAATGAGCCATCAACAACATTTCATAAAGAATAATATGAGACTTAAAAGCCTTTTCTTTACTGATTTAGTTCTTCTGTCTGGAAACTGTCATTGTTCATCAGATGAATAGTAACAAGTAGTAACCAAACATAATGCTTGAAAAAATGTTATTTTCTGAACCAACATAACTTCAAAATAGGTTCAAGATCAAATGCAAAAAACAAAACCAGAAAGGCTATTTAAAAATAGACTCTCAGTTTGGACTAAAAATATAACACCAAAATCTTGCAATATTACACTTGTAACACCAATTCATCACTTAGAAGCAGACCATCTCAGCACCAAAGGTTTGTGAGGAAAACATTACTGGGAAACTGGGTCTCTGCCAAACAAGAAAGATTTAAAATGTCAGGTGAGGGTAAAGCAATGGTTGGTGCTTTTCCTTCTCGTTCTCTGAACTTCATACTTTTATTAAAACTACTAGAAATTTTGTCACGGAGGAGGCAGTGGTGGCCACTATCAGTTAGTGCTCTCTCTATATATATATATCTCCTCAGATTCACATTCATGTATTCAATCAACTATGGAGTAAAAATATTCAAAATAAAAAAATTGTGTCTGCACTACACTTGCACAAACTATTTTTTTCATTATTCCCTATAAGAATTACTTACATATCATGTACATTGTGTTAAATATTAATCTAAAAATGATCTACAGTATGTGTATGTGTTAAACTTTCTTAAATATACTAGTACAACGAGAACTTAAATATTAAATCTATCATATTAGACCTGTCCAGTCCTGATTCTATAATTTTTCGCCATTAGCACACACTACAGTCCAAAGTCATCACTCAGTAACTATTCTATTTTTTCAACTGAAAAAATTTAAAAACACATTCTATATATCCATAATTTTCATCTTTAATTTGAAACTAGGACTTAATCTTTTCATCTTGCATACAGTAAGAGTTGTGCTATTATCTGTACAGCATTTAAATATACCTTATCAGAATGTGAAAATAAGAAAATGAAATAATTTGAGAATCCAAAGTAGGTATAATTTTCTCCATTTTAAAGAAACAGACTAGTATATGTGAATTAGGATTAGATTCTGACTCCAGGGTTATTAACTACATGATACACTGCCTCCAGCAGTCTCAGGCCACACCCAAATATTCATTTAACACATGTATTACAGCACCATAATTTTTAGATGCGTAAACTTCCCTCCTAATTCTTTGTTGCTCTTTCTTCCCTTTACCACCAAATTTGTGAGAGGCTATGCTGCCTTTCACATTACACCCCACACAGAGAAGCTGTTCAAGAGGGGAAAGTTAACATTCTCCAAAACTTCCCAAACATTTGTATTTTGTTTTGTTTTGCAGTGCTGGCAATCACACCTGCTGGGCAAGTGCTCTACTGCTGAGCACTGAGCTATGCTCCCAGCCCTCAGCACTAAAACTTTTTCTCTTTTTTTGGTACTGGGGATCGAACTCGGGTCCTTGCACTTGTGAGGCAGGTGGCAGCACCACTGAGCTAAATTGCCAGCCCAAAAACTTTTAACAGCATTCTGGGTCTAAGTTAACTTTAAGCAAACCCCAAAACCACCATGCAACAAAAACTGACTGATATCAAAGAATACGAAGTAAACAGGAAATTACATAAGGGAAATTTTAAAACTGTTTTCCAGTTGGTTATTCCCATAGTCATCAGAAGCTATGATTTCTGCGGGATAAATTTAAGGATGCTATCTTTGACCTATGAAGCATTATTTCAAAATGTAAGTCCACAATCCAAAATTTTAAAAATATGTGTTTAATACATACAACTTATATATGTATTTAGTACACACATAATATTTGCTATAATTATATTATTAAATGCCAAGCAGATCTCATGTCTGTTCAGGTTAAGTTTTACTGCACAACAGATTTTGCATTATTTTACACTTGCAGATACAGAACTGCAGTCTATCTAGACACCAAGGAACCATTAAAGGCTTCTGAAATATTAAAGGGTTCTGAAATATTTCTGAACATTTTTTAAAAGTTTCAGTTACACATTTTAGACACAGAGGCTTTTGTCCTTTTTGTGCTACACAATTCCTCATAGAGCACATATGCTTTAAGTGTTTTACATTCTTGGGGCATTTGCCTTTCTTCTTTCACTTTATTCAGTCCAAAGGAGTTACTTTACCTGAAAAAGGTAAAGATGACCCCCACAGTCATCTTCCTGCTTCTGCACCTGCTCACTTGATGCTGCCCAGCATCAACTCAGTGTTTTCCACATTATTTTGATGACCAAAATATCACCTACATAAACTTTTCTCTTCCTCAAATCAGTTCCCTAAATTACTGCTTCATTCAAATTCCCCAGCTTTTTCAGTTTTAAAGTTTGCTAAACAGCAGCTCACCATGGCCTCAGTTCTTTTTCTGTCTCATATAGAACATTAATAATATATAACAATCCATAAAGTCTCCTGGTAAGGTGGAAAGAGCTTTGGAAAATAGCACACAAATAACTAATATGTTTTTGTCTCCTCAATGTTTTTCAATTCTCCTTGCTCTAATTTTTTCAATTTTCCTCACTGAATCTTCTGATAACTAATCTGGTCACCACTTCTTATAAGTGGCAATGAGATTATGCTTGCCAGCTATACATTTCCAGGTAAATATATGCTTACATCTCATCTCCATTTAACCACAACTACTACAAATGAGTTACAACATAATCCATTTGTTTGTGATAAAAATTTTTCTGCCTTAACTTCTTCCTGCTTATGCGTCTCATTTATGAGCAGAAAAAAAAGAGAACAAGCGGAAAGAAAGCAAGCCAGTGGCAATTCAGAAATGAATGCAACTACAGCTGTTGTCCACAGTATTGAATTATGTGTACACTGGTTCAAGTTATTGTCCACTTTAGCTGTGTTACAATCAAGTGCGTGTTTATCAAAAATATGTAACAGATCAGGATGTCTTATAATGACAGGTATAATGTGTCTTGAAATTAAGTGGACCAATAACATTCAGTAAACTTTTTGGTAATACCACTTTAAATTTTATGTCATAAATTTCATAATGGAAGCAGTACACCTACTAGAAAAATGTTGATTGATTATAAATATACTTAGCCAACATGACAACTAGGAAATTATAAGTTTCTCCTATCCTAAAACTTCTGCAGAAATATGAAAAAACTTACAAAGGGCACTATCATATCATCCTTTCCATCTCTCCATTTTAGGACAAAAGAATCAATAACTCTGCTACAGAAAAGACCTAGACATAGATCAAACTAGGGGTTAAAAAAAAATTGAAGCTCCAATAAGACATTTGGCTGGACATTCCAGGGACATTGTCTTGTAGGCCTAAGAGAATCTTAGCACTTTTTCTGGTAACATTTACAAAAAAACAAAAAGAACCATTCACAGTGGCCTGTGAGAGGTCAAATGCTTCCTGGATAACTTCCTGCTTGGACTCGTTCCTCCTGTACACTTTACTGTGTACTTTAACTTGGACTTGTGCCCAAAAAGGAAGGGAGAAGCATAGGTGCCTCTGAGGCAGAGCACTGCCAGATCTTTCATTTAAATTGTCAGCACGCCAGGACAGTGGTGTGGCATCAACAGATTACTGAACTAGTGGAGATAAAGGAAAGCTATCCAAAAAGGCTAGTCAGATACACTATTCTAAGTCTTTCATTTTTAATCACATGCTAAAGATGAAACTGTTTCCCCCAAATGGTGATCACAAAAAGAAACAGAGAAATCTCTATTTGAAGCTATTTTAGATATGAAAGGATTATAAATGTCACTGAGCATAGTAATAGCATTGTGATTATTGTTAAGAAGGCCATACATCTAGAGACACAAACTGAACTGTAAAAGGATAAAAATAACATGTTTAGCATTTGCCTTAAAATGTTGCGCAAAAGAAAAAAGAAAGGAATAAATGATGCAAAAGTAACAAAAATGTAATAATTTTTAATCAAAAGTGGCATGTATGGGAACTCAAGATACCATATTTGTCTCTAAAAATTTGTTCCAAAATACGCTTGGTATTTTTCAAAATAAATTCTGGAGTACACTATAAAGCTGTACACAAATCATAATCCCAATCTGTTGTGTATGTGTGTTTGTAAGAAAATATACCAGTGAGTATCAGTGGGTTGTGAAATAGGAGAAATTTATATTTCTTTGTTTACAATTTAGTATTTCCCAATCTAAAATAAGTATGTATTAATCTTAAAATAAGTCTGTTAGAAATATCAATATGCTAGATTTAAGAAAATGTAAAAGCAGTGATATCATAAATACGTTTTTTTTAAACATTCATTTTTTTCCTACAATACTAACATATGGTAAAGAAACACAAAGTTAATAGGAAAATGTCTCATAGGCAAAAAAAAAGGCTAATACTGAATAGTAATTAGTTTTTATAGCATAAATTAGAATATTACTTTGTATTCAAATATGCATGCATTTGTTTTAATAAAGAATGGAGGTCTTATTAAGCAAATATATATTTCCCAATGTATTGTTGCTAAAATGACATTCTTTTTTTTTTTTTTTTTTTTGTACCAGGGATCAAACTCGGGACTTTGCACTTATGAGGCAGGTGGCAGAATAAAATGACATTCTTGTCAACGCTTCTAATTATTTCTCTTTCAAACTTTGTGAAATATAGATCTTCCAGTTTTTTCTCTACATTTACTATTTATACTTAGCCAGAAAACTTCAAAAATAACTTAAAAAGCAAAATCTCTCTTCAAAAAGGAGCTCACTTACGCATTTTTCTACCTTACATTTAAAATGTCCATTTTCATCTCAACAACCACCAGCCATTTTCAAATTACTGTGCATGCTTTTATTTCCCCCATCCTGAAAATAATTGTCCTTGTTACAATTATCAGGATCCTCCCACGATCTGAAATATAATGCCATAATCTTTACAACAGTAATCTCCCTTTTGATAACTCACTGAAATTTTTATTAGAAATTTGCAAACACAAGGTAGTTTCTGGCAAAGTGAAAAAGATATAATGTCTGTTACAAAATCTCCTTCTCCAACCCTATAAATAAATATTGTTTCCTTGAAACCAAGCCAGAAAGAAGTTTGCTTTACACCATCTTATGCTATACTTGGTTCAAACAGTTCTGGATTATAGCTTCACTGAAAAGTCACAAATGTAGACTGGTTCCACAGATTCTAACAAAAAAATCATAAAGAAGATAAAAATCATAGGCTTATTAATTACTGCTTTTGGTCAAAGCTTTGACTTTCCATAAGTGTTAATACTTGGTTTTTTGTTTTTATTTTTGTGTTTTTTGTTGTTGTTGTTCTGCTTTGCTCTGCTTTCTTAAGATAGGGTCTCACTATGCAATTCAGGCTGGCCTTGAACTCACTGCAATCCTCCTGCCTTAGCGTTCTGAGTGCTAAGATTACATATGTGAGCCACCATGTCTGGCTAGGAGTTAATACTTGTGAGCCAAAATAAATCTCTCCTCCTGTAAGAGAAAGTAAGTTAGTACTCAGACTCTATCCTCTTCAAATTCCAAAGAGAAATTAGGCAACTAGGATATTAAGAGAGTAAGAAGAGGCCTACGTGGCTTCTGGTTTAGAATAAGTAGCCTTTCTAAACCCAGGGAAGTAGGGCAGCATTAGTAAATCTGACGGTAGTAAGAGTCATGGTATCACCAAAATTCTCCATTCATAAGGATTCATCTGTAAGTCACACTTTAGAGACTGAAGTTTAATTTATGCAAGAAGCAAATTTATCCACAAATGAGCATTTCATATTTGAAAATCACTTTTTTTTTTTGCCATGCTGGAGTTGAATCCAAGGACTCAAACATGCCAGACAGGCATGAACTCTACCTATGAGATATATTCCCAGCTCTCTGAAAGGCACCTTCTAGAGGAACATCCAATTATTTTCAAACTGCTTCGTAACCTTCAAACCCTTTGAAACAAAACCTCACATAAAGATCAAATACATAGGATAGAAAAAGAGAGCTATTTTTCCAGCAGGGAGACAGGGTTACAGACTTACCTAGTAAACTTCTCTCCCTCTATGAGACAGCTCCCCTAGCAGAGAAACCCCTATGGCTCTTTGGAATAGTTTGAAAATCAGTAAATCTGTGTGTCTAGAGGAAAATTTTTTAAAAACTAAAATTAGGCCTTCAGCTGTTTCTGTTATTTTGATATTAGTTTCTGCAGTAATTTGTCCTTTAAAAAGGACAGAAAATTTTGAGTCCAAACCGCTCATTCATAGTTGAGGATATGAGGCTGGGATTTGACAAGGAATGTGTACAAACAGTCAAGGGCCTTGGCTACCCTATTTAGTCAATTTTTTACTTACAGAGTAGTAAATTACATAAACCATATCTCTCAATTCCACCAACAAGCCACAATTCAGCCATTCTGCCACAGTCAAAAGCACAAATTAGTGCAGTTATGAGGACAGATTCTATCATATCCTTTACAATAAAAAGTTCTGGGTTAATTTATTAAACATCACTAATCAACTTACAACTGCAAAACTCTTCTAAATGTGACCTTACATACACAAAGAAGTAAGACAAAGGTTTTCTTCAAGAGTTACAGTGAGATGAGGAAGACAAAGATAAACAATGAAATAAGGCAGAATGAAATATAAGTAAAAACAACTAATTCCAATTTGTCTTGGGGCTGGTGGTGCCAGCACTTGGAAGTCTGAGGCAGGAGAATCATCTTGGGTTCTAGGCCAGCCTGGGCTATATAATAAGTTCACAGCCAGGCTGGACTACAAAGTAAGATCTTGTCTCAAAAAAATTAAACATAAAAATATATGTATATATGTAGATATAGATACACACATACACACACGCACACAAACACCCCAACTTGGGACACTAAAGAAAACATCATGAGCAAATAACAGGTGAACAGGTATGGTGAACCGTAAATAATATGTGTAAATTCCCTAAGGGACAAAGCCATAACAAAGCAGAAATCTAAGAGGTGAACTTAGAAGGTGATCCAGCATGGTAGAGAAAGGATGAAGGCCAGACAAGCTAAGGAAAATACGAACAAGGAAGGAAAGGACTAAAAGAGCATTTAGGGAAAAGTAAATTATTTGGTTCGGCTCAAGTGAAATGATTTGGTGGGGTGGCAGCAGGAATGAGGAGAAATATGAAAGGAAACAAGACCAAAACGCTAAGGCGGGTTTTTCAGAAGAAGCCAGCTACAACTGAAATATTTAACTTGTGCTTGGCAATTTCAGGAAAAACAATCCAGAAATATAGAAATTGAGGAGGAAAAGAGGTAAATTAAGACCAAAGTGAGAAAAGCTTTGAATCAGGCATCAGAAATGAAAACAGATGTAAGGGCCAGCAATAAGAGACAATCTGTCACTCTGGTGACAAGTTACTGTAGAAACTAATCCAAAATAACACAAATAGCCTAAGACCTAATCCAGATGCCTCCCACCCCCATTCACATTACTATCCAGACTTGATTACCTGGTTTAGATAGTATGAGAATCAAAATGCTATTTACATGATCCAACTACTTTAACAATTTTAGTGTATCTCCTAATAAACTTTGTAACCAACAGTCACACAGTACCTTCACTTTCCCAGGCCTGGAGCTGATCTTGGTCCCTAGTGGCACTGCCCAAAACCTCTCGAGGGACAGGTTTCATTCGTGCATCTACTTTCTCTTGGTGAGAAGACTGGTTAAATCCTTCAATAGCCTTTTGGAAAAAGAAATTCAGCTCCTCAAAGTTCATGGCCTGGAGCTCCACGTAAAGTTCAACCTGTTGGGCTTCTTCCAGTTCATTCCAGAACTGCAACAGGTGTTCTTGTCCAGCTTTGGACAACCTGAGTTTGAGGTCATTAACATTCATAGTGCTCTGGTGGCCAGGCTTTGTGAAAGCAGGAGTATGATTTCTGCACCTGTGAACCTAAAAGAGAAAAGGAATTAATATCAAGCCAAAGTCTAACCTTCAAAACTGAAGGAGTTTTCTTACTAAATTAAGTACAGTTACTAATCACATTAACAACATTTTGGTCAACAACAGACTGCAAGAATGATAGTGGTCCCTTAAGACTGCACTGCCTACTGATGGCATAACCATTGTAGTTTATATAAGTAGACTCTAATGTTTCCAAATGATGAAATAGCCAAATAACACATTTCTCTGAATGTATCTCTACCATTAAGCTATGTATGACTACACTGAAAGAAAATGATGTGAAGAAATTAACTTATTATGCTGTGCATGGCAGTGCATGCCTATAATGTCAGCACTTGGGAGGCTGAGACAGAAAGATCACCTCAGAGTTTGAGGCCAGCCTGAGCTACAAAACGAGTTCAAGTCCAGCTTGAACTACACAGTGAACTACACAGTGAGACCCTTCCTCAAAAATCAAAAATTGAAACATAAATAAATAAAAAGAAATTAATTTATAGCCAGTCGTGGTGGCACACACCTGTAATCCCAGTACTTGGGAGGCTGAGGCAAGAGGGTCACAGTGAGTTCAAGGCCAGCCTGAATGACAGCGTGAGACCCTGTCTCAGAAAAAAAAAAAGAAAGAAAGAAAGAAAATAAATTAATTTCTGCCTTTCTGTCACTCAATATTTCCAAGAAACCAGGTTTTAAAAATAATAATAATTAGCAGTATGTACCAGACTCTTCATGAAGAACTTTATTCACATGGCCTTAATTTTCAACAACTCTATGACATATATACTATTGTTTTCACTACTTTAAAGTTAGGACAGAGACAACCCAGCCAACTGGCAGAGTAGGACACAAACCCAGGCAGTCTGATTCCACATTTATTACCACTATACCACTCTGATTTAATACTTCCACTGTTCTCCTTTTATCTCTAATGAAAAATACCTGTTATACTCAGAATACAGTAATATTCAGAATATAGGACCACCTATAACCATGAAAAACACTATTTATAACAACAGTAATTTTTGCAAAGAAGTAATAAAGTCCATTATCTCTACTCACTAAGAACTTGGACCTTAATTAAAAAGATAAGCAATGCACACATAACAATAAATAACACAATGTTTTTAAAGGAATATTCTGTGATCATATAAAAAAATGTTAAAATACAGTACTAAAAATAAAAGAATGAAATATTTAATCTATTCACCTAATACAGATAAATATAAGAGACAGGCATTGGCTAGGAGATCACAATCTAGCTGCACCTCAAGGGTTTAGACTATATAGATAAGATCAGGAAACCAGCAGAGCCTAATGACTAAGAAGAGGGCATGAGTAAAATGAAGAGCAGCAAGAAAGCAAAAGTCAACAGGGCATGGTGGCACATGCCTGTAATCACAGCACTCCTGAGGCTGAGGCAGGAGAACTGTCAGGAGTTCAAGGTCATCCTGGGCTACACAGTGAGATTTGGTTTTAAAAAAAAAGAAGGAAGGAAGGAAGGAAAAAGAAAGGAGGAAAGGAAGAAAAGCAAAAGTCTTATACAGAATGATAGGAATTGGAAAAAAGTAGGGCTAAACCATAAAGTGCCTTGAAAACTACACAATGAGATTTACACCTAACGGAATAAGTGTATAGAATAATGGAAGCCAACAGACTACTAAATATAAAGATGAGAGAAAGGAGTGATGGCATGGAAGAGCTTGTCAGGATGGATGGACATTGTCTTAGTTACTTTTTCTGTTGCTGAGACAAAATGCCCGTTACCCAAAGTTAGAAGAGGAAAGGTTTATTGTAGCTCACAGTTTATAGAGGTTTCAGTCCATACTTGGCTGGCTCCAGGAGCATCACAGAGGAAACAGTCCATGGCAAAGCACAGCAGGAAGAAGGCAGAGGTAGCAAGCAAGACTCTCTTTTTGTCCCTTTTATTTCATCCTGCCCTTAGGGGTAGACAGCACTCACACCCACTGTGGGGCACCCTTAATTCTATTAAGAATATGCCAAACCAATCAGTGGACTAATTTAGTGATCACACACCCGTGATCCCAGCATCACACACTCTAGATACAGCCACCTATGACCTCATGGAGGCTTTGAAGGGACATCTAGACACAAGCTATAACAGTTAGAAGCAGGACAAGTTAAATGGCAACTGCAGGTAAGAAAAATCAAAAGTTAGAACTAGATGTGTTGCAGAGGAAAACAGAGTGAAAGGGAAAGTTGAAGGTCCCTGAGAGTCACCAGTGCATTGGAACTACTTACTCAGATTTAAGGGGTAGAAAAAAATAGATACCAACCCAAAAAACAACCCAATCATCTTTACGTTTAGTACAATGGCAAAAGGTAATATAGCATAGTTCAGAGCTCAATTCTAGAGTTCATTTGAGTCCCTTGACTTCACCATGCCTCAGGTCCCTTCCCTGTAATGTGGTATTAATAATTGTATGACCTCATCACAACCTTTGAAGAACCACCAAACACCACTTACAAATTCGGGTCAGGAGAAGCAGTGCGTCCTCTGAGGTGGTAGCAATAACAGTGCTTACAGTCTTTGCAAAAAGAAAAGACAAGTATAGCTTTGCCCACTTGCAGGATTGGACAAAGAAGAGTCAAAAGGAAAGCTGTCCCCAAAGAAGATGATAGCAGGCAACCTGGAAACCCAGTTCACTGGTCCTGCTGCAACCATGAGAAGTCTTTTCTCATGGCCATGAATGAGCCTGCAACACAGTCATCTCTTGTACTGCACGCTTATGGGAATCCCCAATGCTCCTTAAGTAGATGTCAGATTCTATCAAACAGAACTGCCATTTATTTCTGGCTCTCTTGCCTGCACTAGTCACATACTTTCTACTTTGGTGTTTAGATCTGTAAAATAAGAATAATAATACTTTCCTCACTAGGTTCATAGGCATAACTTAAAATCAACGAGAAAATGAGGCTCAAAGGTAATTTGCCCAAAGGTATATAACCAACAGGTAGAAAAACAAGAATTTTAACTGAGATCTAACTGATTTTAATATCTATCCTTTCCCACAATACAGCTCTCATAAAAGGAGTGAAAATACTAAGAATCCAACTAAAGGTGTCATTAAAATGAGGCAGCATTGGTAACCAGCCCTGGGTCAGGACAGACTAGCTGGACTCGAGTTCTACCGCATTCAAATCTTGTGGTCTTATATTTTAATTTTTCTCATCTGTAAAATTGTACTAAAATCAGTATTTACTCTCAGGTAAAAGCACTTATGAGTCAATATGATGAAAACATTTAAAATAGTGGCTGGCATAAAGAAAATCCTCTATAAATGCTATTGGCTACCAGTACCTAAGTGAAATTTGCCTTCTAGAGCACTGAATCACAGCCTTCAGAACTTGAGAACTACTATTTGAGTCAGGCACTGGAGACTGCAAAGAAGTTCACCAAGGATATAAGAAAAGAAAATCTACTCCATGGGAACAGTATGAAAAATGGCTCAAGAAAATAAATGTATGCAACAAATAAGGTCAGAACATGAGCGGCTAAAATTTTATCACTACTGTTTCAGTGGTAGTACATTGCTTAACAACAAGGATACACATGAGATATGCGTGGTTTTATCACCGTACAAACATCAAAGTTTACACAAACCTTGATAATTACTCAACGTAAGTTACAGAAGATACTTAATTTAGTTGTATACTTTATTCAAGTTGTATGTTCTGTACATAAATGTACGTGCTGCTCTTTTATTGGACTTGCAGGGCAGATTTGTTCATGCTAGTATCACTACATACATGAGCAATGTGTCATGCTACATTACAGCAGCAACAATGTCAGCAGGCAACAGGATTCTGGAGCATAGTGAAAATCTATGGGACCACCGTAACATAGTCAATCTGTAGTTGACTGAAACACTGTCAACTGTACATCATGGAGGTTTATTTCCTTTGAGTCCGCAAACACCCTTTCCACTTATGTAAATAGATTAATCATAAAAGCTTCCTTATAATGTACAAATATATTTAATAGGCAATTTTAAGAAGAAAATTACTTTCATGTGTTATAATTGACCCATCCCCCACATATGTAATAAACTTTTACTGTCTACCAAGTACTGATCTGTGAGATAAGGACAAATAATAAAGAAAGCAACAATGTGCATGCTCATATTCCAGTGTAGGAGACAAATACATAAAATATCAGATAGTGCTAGGAGATAAGGTCATGAAAAAATTAAAGTGGGAGAAGGGACTAAAGAGCAACAGGGGTGATGATGAGTACTTCAGATGAGTGGCCAAGTAAAGCCTCTCTAGAGCTGATATTTGTGAATACATCTGAATGAAGAGAGGGACAAGCCAAGGTAAAATATTTGGTAGCCCCCAAGACAGGAATGTGCTTGGTGTGTTCAAGATAGAACAAAAGGTTGATATAGCAGATGTGGAACAATGAGAAAATAAGGCCCAAAATGTTAACTTGTTGCCCAATAATCCATATGGAAGGAAGGAAGGCCAGAAAATTTAACAGAGACCAGATCAAGGTGGGCCTTGTGTTCACGGTAAGAACTTTCAGGTTTAGGAGGCCACTGGAGAATGACTATCATGGCATGATTTATTTATTTATTGGTACCAGGGATCAAACTCGGGACCTTGCGCTTGCAAGGGCAGGCAGCAGCACCACTGAGCTAAATCCCTGGCCCATGATTTAGGTTTTAAAAGAATCATCTGCTGTTGTGTGCAGAAGACAGGGTAGGGGGAATACTATAATGAAGGCAAAAGTGGAAGACCAATTAAGAACTACTACTGTAAACTAGATAAGAGATAGTGGTGGCGAAACAGACCTATGAGATTAGGTAATAAATTGAACATGGAATAAGAGAAAAATATGAATAAAGCAAAGATGACTCCAAGTAGTGGTGCCATTTACTAAGGACAGAGAAACACTAGATGAGAGCAAATTTAGGGATATGAAGGACAGAGAAAATCAATACTTCATTTTTGGTCATGTTAAGTTTGATATGGCTTTTAAACATCCAAATAGCAATGCTGATTAGACAGCACAACAGTAGTTTAGACTTCGGAAGGAATACCAGAGCTAATGGTAAAACTTTCAACGTCATTAGTATACATAAGTTATGGCTGAATGAGCTCCCCTATGCAGTGTAGGCAGATATTAAAAAAAAAAAAGAAGACTGAGCCTTGGATATTGACTAGGGTATTAAAAGTTATTGATTGACATAAATTTCAAGAGTCATGATGCTATACTTTTATTGTTTTAACACATCACTTGAAATAACAGTTGAGACTGATAAGATTTATAATTGTTTTATAAGGAATGAGTCGCAGTTATCATTTACACTTTTAGTTTTGCCCAGATGTCTTCCCAGGTTTGTTTTTTATTTTTTGTTTTGTTTTGTTTTTGTAGACAGGATGTCACTATGTAGCTCAGGCTAGCCTTGAACTCACAAAGATTCTTGGACCCAGGCTCCCAAGTGCTGGGATTACAGGTGTACACCTCCACGCCCAGACAAGTACCAGTTCTTAACCCTTCACCAACAGCTAATCCTGTATGAATCATTTCACTT